AGATTTTAGGTTAAAAAAGAACTTTTGAAATTAATAATTTTTATAAACAACGTTATGAATATTCAAAAGGTTTAGAACTTTTATTTTTTCAATAGTTTCAGTAAAAATATAGCTTTTTCATGTGCGCGCGTAAAACTGCGCAGAGCTTGAAATATAGAAAATTGCATTGGCGATCATAAACGTATAAATAAATTAAATGATACGCGGCAATATGTAAAGGATGATATGAAGTCCCGTGCAGAAATCGCCACTTTTGTTCCCGATTACCGCCCTGGCCCCGGTCGGGATTTCATGATCTGGCCCCGACTTCGTGGCCCCGACCAGGACCAGACCGGGTTTGCCCAAGGATCTACAAACAGCGCACAATGGGATTTTTTTTACAATTTACTGTTCAAAACTGTCTACAGCCTACAATTCTTAACCGGTTTCAGTATTCTTTATTTTAAATTAAAGGCGAATAAATTCTTAAGACATCCCTTAAGGTCAATTTTTTAGTTCTTAATTGTTTATAATTTTTATTTTCAATCAAAGTTAACAAATTAATACAATTTTTCAAAAAAGGAGGCTTATTTTCTTATTCCGTTGCTGCATATGATCTGAATCAGTTCAAATTAATACAATATGACCACCATATAATTAATAAAACAGAAAGTAATTTATATCAATTGTTATAAACAATATTAATTAACAAATAGTTAACTTTGATTTCTTTCCACTAAAAAATGTTTTTTTTACCTTTTCTTTTTAATTTAAGTTCATTTAAAGAATATTTGCCCTTTTTGATTATAAAATAACTTATTTAAATTGTTATAAACAATATTAATTAACAAATAGTTAACATTGATTCCTATTCCACTAAAAATTTTTTTTTCACATTTTCTTTTTAATTTAAGTCTATTTAAAGAATATTTGTCCTTTTTGATTAAAAAATAACTTATTTAAATTGTTATAAACAATATATTAAATAACAAATAGTTATGTAACTTATGCTCCTGTCCACCAAAAAAATTTTTTTTCACGTCTACTTTTTAATTTAAGTTCATTTTAAAAATATGTGTCCTTTTTGTTTAAAAAATAACTTATTTAAATGGTTACAAATAATATTAATTAACAAATAGTTAATTTTTGTTCCTTTCCACCAAAAATTTTTTTTTCACGTTTACTTTTTTATTTAGATAATGTTAAAAGACCACGGATATATAATATTAAATATTTAAATAAGTTATATTATAAGCAAAAAAGACATATATTCTTTAAAAGAACCTAAGTAAAAAAGAAAATTTGCAACAAAAATTTTCTGTTGGACAGGATCATAAGTTAACTATTTGTTAATTAATGTTGTTTATGACAATTGAAATATATTACTTTATGGGTTTTTAATTGTCTGCTGGTAATATTGGATTAATTTGAACTGATTTAGAGCATGTGCAGTAACGGAATAAGAAAATAAACGTCCGTTTTTAAAAAATTGTGTTAATTTGTTAACTTTGATTGAAATTTGAAAATAAAAATTATAAACAATTAAAAACTCAAAAATTGTCCTCGAGGGATGTCTTAAGAATTTATTCTCCTTTAATTTAAAACAATAGGACAAACGCACCAATTGTCGAAGGTGAACCATTTGTCGATGTTATCATGGTGATAACCAAAAATATTGCCTAAAATGTTAAATTTTTTTGTGGTTATAATATTAACATATTATTTTTGACATTTATAACTCTTAAAAACTCTTAATTGTTTTTCACACTTAAATTGAAATTCCATGTTTAAGGCAAAAAAATAAATTATTATTAATTAATAATTTTTAGTATTATTGTGAATTATTAATAATGAAAAAATTTTTATTATTTTAAAAAATAGTTAAATTATAAATAATATAGAATAAATAATTAAATTAACAATTTTTACCATATTATTATGATAAACATATTAATTTATATATATATATATATATATATATATATATATATATATATATATATATATATATAACATACATTTTTAATAATTTTTCTATAAATAAATATGATACAGTCAATTTATTATGATAACACTGTATATAACGGTCCCATGATTCAAAAGGAAGTTTAAGCGAGGTCGCTTCCAAGCTTGCGTGGCTATGCGGTATGTGTATTCGACTTGCGTCCTCGAGGTCTAGGGTTCGGTCCCCCGTGCGTGCGATATTTTTCCGTCTTAGTTTTAAGTGTTTTGTGTATAATTCTTAATAATGTTACATAAAGTATAGGTTTAAATAATTATTAACAATAATAATAATTATAAATAATTATTAATTTAAATAAGATAGTCTGTCTAAATTAATGAAAGAAAATAAGAAAAATATTTTTTTTAAAAACTTAGTCCAATAAAAGCAATTCTAATAACTATTTACATTTTTAATGACACTCATAAAAGTTTATTTACTACAAAAATATTAATAATAATCATTAATATTGAAGTAAATACTCCCCATTCTTTAATAATCAAATAACAAGCTTTAATATAATAAAATGCAGTCAGTATTGGAATTCTACCTGGGTAGCGAAAAGATCGGGGGAAATCCCATGGCCCCGACCGGGTCCCGACAGGGCGGCCAGATCGGGCAAAGTGCCATGGCCCCGGTCAAAATTTCTGCACGGGGTTATATTGAATATAATTGCGATAAAATATATGGTCCATAAAAGTAATTTATTCCAAGTATTAATGATAAATTCAAAATGAGTAAAATTAGTCATCGCAAGTAGAAATAATCACGAATGATAATTTTCCTCCTCTTGGTGTTCCCTATACACGGATAGAAATTAATGTATCGAAGCATGGCGGAAAATTACACCTCGTTGCTTAATTTGCGGAATTGTTCAAATGTGCGAAATTCTCTCGTTAAACTTCATAATCCTCGTTAATCCAAAGGTCAATGTCCCATCCTTTTTCACTGAATTTCACTCATCGCTTGACGAATATATGAAATCTATATGAGAATCCTGCCTCCTTTCAGTATTATTATGACAATGAGCTTCGTTTCATATTTAAACAAAATATTAAATCTTTTATTGTAAATTAATTCAGTTTTTACTCCCCATTCTACAATGATATTTTACAAAATAGGAAAAAAGTAAGATTCGTTTTGTGTATAATATAGTATATTTTTTTTTTGTATTCTGATATTGGAACTATAGTACTATTATCGTTTCGAACGTAAATTATGATATGGAGACCAGTGCACGCGGTTACCCATTATGCATTCATATTAAATCGAGAATTTATGCGAGTTCATCGGTATGGAGCTCCATGTGCGTTCCTAACCTCTATAGCACCAGGTGTGAAGTAATTTTTTTCATCGCGTATTTTCGCAATAATGTGCTTGGGAAAAGCCGTCTTATTTTTCAAACTTTTTGCCTACACTTTTTTTCCAATGTTAATTTTATCTGGAGAGTACTCGACAGAATTTCAATTTTCAAAAGCGAAATGGGTTTTACAAGGGATATAGAATTATTCGATTTCCATTATTGAATAAAGTCTTATCAATGGAGAGAATGCGCGGGATATATAATAAAAAAAGAACATTGATTTATTATCTATTTTATATTAAGTTCTGGTTATTAATTTTTTTTTCTTATCCCCATGAAATGATTTTTACAAGGGATGATTATTACTCTAATGCATTTTCAAAGTGGATTAACGAAAAGAGCTTTCAGCTTATTCCCATATGTGTGGCACATAACCTGAAAAGAATTTGTATTTTTAATAATTTTTAAAAGAATTTTATTTCATTATTTATTATTATTATTATTTGTGACGCGATCTGAAGAAAGGGACCTTAGAAGCAAAAAATTATAGGTTATGTTTGCAATTTTTTAAATGAAAATACAAAAAAAGGATCAACTGTCATTATAAATCATTGAAGTTTAAGTCTTCATTAAAACGAAAATATTTAATAAACACTGATTTTAATTCGAAATAAGTAAAAAGAAACTTTCAAACAAGAAAAAAGTAACTCTAACCCAACCTTAAAATGATTTGCTTCTAAGGTCCCTTTCTTCAGATCGCGTCACATTTATTATTTTTATTTGTTGCAGGTAAAAATATGTGATGGAGTAATTTGATTTTCAAAAGAGTATTATATCTAATGATGAATAAATAGCATTAAGATTTCTGAAGGATTTTTTGACGTTGAGAGTCGACGTTAAGTTCGGGGTCATAAAAAATACTTATTAGTCAAGAGGAAATACTATCCTAAACAACTTTAAATTTCTTGTCGCGTTAGGTAACTTTTACCGTGAAACGTCACGTATTAAATTATTAATTAGGATTATTGAATCGAATGTTCTGAATAGGAAGCATAGGGTAGTTATAAAGTAATCTAATATTTTCCGTGGATTTTTTTTTCATTTTTTTCGCAAATGCGCGTACAGTGACGTAATTCTTGAATAAAGGAGCGACATACTTGTGTCAAATATCTCGATAGCAATTAATTTGTTCTCGTCTGTGCAGGCTTGAACCTTTACTGGAATCAATACATACATATTCATTTTGCATATTTTACCCACGCGTCTCTCACGACTTCTATTTGCGTAACATTATAAGCAGGAGAATGGACAATTGAAGTTTCGTTTCGAATATCAGATCGGTTTCTAATATCGAGGCATAACTCTCATGTTTCTTTTTTTATTTGACAAAATATTGTTTTAACATTGAATTTCTGTTGTGTAATTATTAATTATATTTCCGCATTCTTTCTTGTTTTCTTTGTAATTAAAAATTAAAACAAAACTATATTTTTGATCTAATGCACCCTACAAAAAGTAATCTCAGAATTAGAAGAAAAATCCTCTTCTAATATCCTCTCAGAACAAAAGTATTCCATTTGAATGTAGAATTTTTTTATTCTTTGGTGATTAATGAAAAAACAAAACAATTTTTTTGAAGTTCCTCGATTGTTTTCACTTTAAATCAAAATAAGCTCATCAGTTTAAAATAAAAGATAAACATTTTTTATTTTTCAGCGTGCAGTTTGCGAAGAAATCGAAATGGTGGAGCTAAGTAGCAGTGGTCAGCAAACAGCTGTAGGCGTAATGGGAGTTGGATCGGTGATATCAGCAGCGACATCGTCGTCCTCATCGTCGACGACAACAACTGTCGCCTCATCGTCGACATCGGGTCGTGCGGGCATTCTCGAGACTCAAGTCAGGGGACAATGGTATCGTGTATTTGTCTCTCTCGAGGATGATTATTTAACGATTTCCCTCGACGATAGCTGTGACAATCCAACTGGAATGAATGGCAATATAAATAATAACAATATTGACAGTCTAAACGATCCCGATGTACCGGACTCGGTGGCCAATCAAACAAGAATAGTGCGCGTTATGAAAAGTGATAATAATGGTCTTGGAATATCCATTAAGGGTGGAAAGGAAAACAAAATGCCCATTCTCATATCGAAGATATTCAAGGGAATGGCAGCGGACGCCACGGAACAACTCTACGTTGGCGATGCCATTTTGGCAGTGAATGGAGAAAATTTACAGGACGCAACACATGATGAGGCTGTCAAGGCGTTGAAGCGGGCTGGCAAGGTCGTCGAACTTGAAGGTTAGTGTCATTTTTTTATTAAATTATTATAAAGATAATTAATTAATTTCTTAAAATATATTCAATAAAAAATATTTCGTTCATTTGAACGTTCAAAACTTGGGGATCATGAATAAAATAAAGGACTTTTCCTGTATCATTAATCGACTCTGCGGATTTTTTTTTCGCCTTAAAGTAGATCCAAGGCCTGTGACAGATCTTAAGTTTCTTTCTATTTTTGTGCAGGTATTTCCACTTTATACGAAGTCGATGAAACAGATTTATCAGTTTTCAGAGAAATTGTCACTTTATTTTTAAATACCTCTGCAATAATTAATTTCAAGAAATTATCGGTTTCAATTATCCCATAAGCATTTTCTTTTGGTATTGTAATAAGATTTAAGAAAAATATTTTACAAAACAAAAATATTTTTCTTTAAATTATTATTTTTTCTTGCATTATTATTATTATTTTTATTTCTCAACTAATTTGTAGAGTTTTCTTTAATTATCAGCGCGTGACTTTTGCCTTTTTATTTTTAGATCCAATTCAGCTTGTTATAAAATTTTTTTCTCTCTCTATCTTCTTTTATTGAGACTGATGTAAAAGTCCGAAGTCACCCTGAGGTATGAATAAAAAGTATGACTGAATTGAAAAGCTGATTCCTTGATAACTTATTTCATTGAAAGAAATATTATCTCTAGAGCTCATTTGATATAGACGGAAGTTTGAAGACCTTTTCTTTTCCAATGAAAATATTGAATGATGGATTTAAGAAAACTTAGAAAAAGAGGTCGTTTCCTCCGAAGGTCCTCTAGTTTTTTTCATTGAGGCGTATGGAAAAAAATTTCTTATTACCCACGGCGCGGAAAGTGAAAAGTTTGTTTTAACTTAGTAAGTTTGGTTTTAATTAAAGAGAAAGAACAGGGCATCAAAGATCCTGTGAATTTCGATCGTGAAAATCGCCCAGGGAATGGGAAACTTGCACAAGAATCAATTCCCTTTTATTTCCGGATTTCTACCCGTGCTGTTTGAATAAAGAATAAATGAGTGGAAAAAAAGTATTATATATATAGAGAACGAGTAAGAAAAGTGCTCGAAACATTAACAAGGCTCTTAATTCTCCTTGGTTTTAAGTAAAAGGGCGTTAAATGCAAAGAATTCTTAATTTTCCTTTAAAAGAAAAGGAAGAAGAAAAAAACGAATCCTTTTATTTCCGTCATTCACCTTATGGGTTCGTTCTTTCTTATATAGATCTGAATAAGATTTGAGTATCCTGCTCTGGTCGTAAAAAACTTTTAGTTGGATTAATACAACCCAGGTATCTTGTTCGGAATAGTTTCTTCGTCTCTTTTTTGCTTCAATTGAAGTACGAAATTTTCGGGTTCTAGGAACTTTCAAGGTATTTAGTTCGCAAAGTTGAAGAAAAAAGAGAGGGGCTTGCTTTTTTTTCTATCAAAAGTTTTAGGAGTAACTTGGGGGGAAAAAAAAGTTTCGCGTAAAAATTCCATAGGTAAATTAAATTCCTTCAGTTAATTGAAATGTTAAGCTTATTAAAATAATTTCAATAGTGTCAGCCTTTTCACCTTTTTTTAAACTTTGTCACCTATTTTTATCAATTTTATAAAGTTTTTAAATATTTCTATAAGCAAAAGTTTTAAAATATTTAATTTAATACTTCTAATTTAATTCGGACAAATTTTTAATGTTTGGAATTCCAATTCTCATGTTATTTTTAATTAAGCTATCAAATTCAGTTCATGAAAATTTTGATTTATCCAAATTTTTAAACAAATTTAAATTTTAATCTGATAATAATTAATCTCAAAATTACTTATTTTAAACATGAGGCCGAAGTCCGCAACGTTTTTAAAAATGAAAAAATAATGCGACAATTTTTTTTATTTTGGCTTTAAGTTCATGTTCTCTTTGCTTTGAGCAATTAACCTTTGAGTAAAAATTATTTTTTTCAAATTTTTAAAGAAAAACTTAAAAGAAAATTTTGTTTGGTTTTTCATTTTTAAAAACGTTGCGGACTTCAGATTTACTTTTAAACTAGGATTTATGTATTTATTTATTTATATTTTAGGAACAATTTAACAAAATCTGATATGATTCAATTATTTTCAAAATTTTTTCGAAATTCAATTATTTTCAACACCTACTATTTAAAAAAAAAAATTCCCAATGGAATTCAATTATTTACCAATTTTTTTTATAAAATTCTTTGTAAACATTCAATTATTTTCATAAAGAATAAATTTTTACAGGAATTCAATTATTTAAAAAACAATTTTCATTAAAATTTTCGAAAAAAACAATTACTTAAAAAGATTTTTATAAAATTATTCAAAGAATTCAATTATTTAACTAAATTTTAATAATGTTCTTCACAAGAATTCAATTATTTTTATAAATAATAAAATTCTTCTCAGAAATTCAATTATTAAAAATTTTTTTTTTAATTTCTTCGCAAGGATTAAATTATTTTCATAAACAATAAAACTTATCCTAGGGATTCAATTATTTTCGTAAATAATAAAATTCTTTTTAGAAATGCAATTATTTTCTTAAATAAAAAAGTAAAATTCATTGTAGAATTTGAATTATTTTTAATGCAATTTTAATCGACTTCCTCTAAAAATATAATATTCTTAAAATTTTTTTATTGAATTCTAGTAGAATTTTCTAATAAAAATTGATTTAAAAATTAATTTCAGTTAAAATTTTAGATTATAATTGAATGTTGAAAGTATAATAGCGTGAATTTTTAGAAATAATTGAATTTTGAAAAGGTTTTAAATTTAAATCTGTGAAAATCGGAATTTTTCATATTTTTAATTAACAATTCTGTGGAATTAATTTTTTTGAGAAAGTTTCATTGCGGATGTTTTTTGTTAAATTTATTTGAAGTTTCTAATTTCTAATGTATATTTAATTGAAGAATTTGCGAATAATTAAAATTTTGTAAAATTAAATTGTAAACAAATGAATTTGAAAATTCTCAAAGAACTTTTTCAAAAAATTTTAAAAATAATACATTTATAGAAGAATTTTAATTAAAAACACGAAACAAAAATTTAAATTTAATTTAATTAAAATACTTTAATAATTATTTTCAATAAATTTTTAATTAAATTTCTAGAAAGTTTTTAATTATTTTTAAAAATTTGAATAAGATTTTTCATAACAATTTAATTATTTTTAAAAAATATTGATAAAGCTCTTTATAGAAATTCAAAATGTAAAAATGTTTACTTATTTGAATGACTGATTTTTTGTTTTTGAATTAGTAAATAATTATATTTCACAAAAAAAAAAGATTTAATTGAAATATTTATTTGAACAAAATTATTCTGTTTTTAACTGTAATTTAAGTCAGAGAAATGTCAGGGAAACTAATTTTTTGTCAGTAAAGTCAGGGAAATGTCAAGAAAAAAATTTTTATTAGGGAAATTAAGAAAATTGAGACTTTTTTCGATTTATTTTTCAAAATTACGACTTTTTCGACTTTTCTTCCAAACATTGCAACAAAATACAATTTATTTACAATTTTTAAAAATCAATTTTTGAAGAATTTTAATTGCTGAAAATAATTGAAATTTATCAAAAATTTTGATGAAAAATCTTGAAAGGTAAATTTAAAAATGTAAATTAATGAAAATTATTTTCTTATTTTTTAAAAATTTAATATTTTCAGTATTTTCAATTACATTATATTTCCAAAAATTCAAATAAATACAAAAAAAAATATATTTTAGAATTATTTTTAACATTTTGGAGAAAACAATAATGTTCAAAATTTTTAATTAAAATTCATCAAAAAATTAATCAGTTTTTTTAAATTGAGGGGCTGGATGCTATAATGTATTACGCGCCACTCAATTAGCATGGCGCGTAACATATTATAGCATCCAGCCCCTCAATTATACAAAAATTAATTATTATACAAATTGCATTAAAATATTTTTAAAAACTAATTATCAGAATAATTGTTTTACAATAATTTTTTAATATTCAATTATCTTCGAACAATGTAAACAAAAATTTATAAAAATTTACTTTTTAGACTTATTGAAATTTGTGAGAAATCATGGTCCTGTTTATAATTAAAATTCTTCAGAAATTTGATAATTTTTATTTATATTTTTCAAAAATTCAATTATTTAAAGAAATTTTACCAAATTTTAATTGTTTGGAAATTTTTCAAAATTGACTGAAAATTGTTTTTAGGTTAAGTGACGTAGGGGAAAAAAGGGGTGCGCAGACGCGTAGCGACTGCGCGAGCCTTTTTTCCCCGGCGTCACTACTTTTTTTCCCTCTAACCTTATGGAAATTTCAATTTTCAACCTACTTCACACGATAATTAAAAACTTGTGAATCATTTGAATTTAAATTAAAAATTGATGATTGAATTTCAAATCAAGGATCGTATTTCGTAATAATTGCCTCGAATTTCTTTTTTGTTTACGTACAATAAATATTGTATAGATAGAAAGAGAGATGGAGGACAGGTTGAAAGACCTTATATTGTTTCGATTCTTTTACTTTTTGCCTTCGATTTGTATGCGTTCGATTCCCGTAGTGATTTCAACTCGAGATAAAATTATATTAAAAGGAGTCCCTGGAAATCAGGTCGAAAAGTTTGCATCGATATAGTGAGGAGAAAACTGTTTCTTTTTAGTGTACTTTAAAAGGCGTAGCTTTCAACTTTGCTTCTTTTTAGTTCTTATGAATATCTCGCTTCAAAGCTCTTTTGCTCTTCAGATTCCTTTGTGTGTCTTCTCGTTTATTGTTTTTCGCATGAAATCTCTCAGGTTTGCTATAAGCTTGTGTGTAAAACGATTCTCATATGTACATTTGACAATTCTAGCATTTTTTTCTTCTTCTATTTTTCTATATACCTTTTTTATTTTTTCTGTGCCTTTCTCTATTTTTTCTGTACCTTTCTCTATTTTTTCTATGCCTTTTTCTATGTTTTTTTATGCCTTTTTCTTTTTTTTGTTCTTTCGCGAGCATT